CAGGGGAAAGTGTGCTGCTTACTATTCAAGGGCTCAGAAACAGCAACACACAATAGGAGCCGACCAACCCCTCCATGTGGACTCAGGACCCACACTTAAAAAGAAATACTATAAGCACCCAACTCCATGGGCCCCAGACAATGCTCTCCCGGTCTCTGTCTTCTATGTCTCCCTCTTCTATCCTTGAAATAAAACAACAATGATGCTCAGAGCCCACCCAACCAATACACTGTGTGTATGTGTGTGTGTGTGTGTGTGTGTGTGTGTGTGTACGCTCATATGCACACTAACAACATAGGAAACCACACGATTCACTCACAAACGACACAGTGCTCACAGATCCTATGGGAGACATGTCAGCTCCCCACAGGCACAAACTACACAGATACATGGGGGTGAGCACACACACTCACAGCTTCCCTTCTCTAAGAAGCCACACCATGAGGGGACACTGGGGCATCACAAGCACAAGACACGTCGTTCCACACTGGCCAGGTGAGGGCAGGGGCACAGGCCCCTCCAAAACAAGGCACAGATCCCTCCAGAAAAACAGCAACCTCAGTTCTGACGACATGGCCACCAAGAAAGGCACACAGACCTAGAAAAAATGTCTATTACTGGAATCCATACACAGCATGTTAACAGGACTTCAACCACAGAAAACCCATTCCTTACCCCTACCCAAACCAGCAGCCCACTCACTCACACACTCACTCACTCACTCACTCACTCAACCACCCACCCACCCACCGAACACATGGACTTCAGGAGGCTCCGAAGAAATACAGACCTCAGGGATACCCCAAACACTACAGCCTACTCTATACCCCTACAAGTTATCAAATATTACTGCCATGGACTTCAACATGGACGACAACACTTCAACCTGCTTTTAGATCCTGGGTGCAACAAGGAACTCTTCTGCAAGACGATGATCCCTTTGGAATGGACTTCACTTACTACGATAATGTGGCACACTTCAAGGCTGCCTAGGCTGGGCTGCTTGCAGGGACGATGGCTTTTCACGGCTCAGCAACAGACTTTGGGAAAACACGAACCTACATACCCAAATGTCAGTCTCTGCAAACTTTCCATGACGGTGGCAACAGCACCCATCCCCATTACCCATCTGCCCATGATTGTTTCCTACTAAGGTGCCATCTCCTACACATCTTGCTTCATACATCTTCTGGGAGACTCTAGGCCCAACTGAGGCATATCCTTCTCAAGTCACAAAGACAACAAGAACACTGGGTCCCCAATCCATTCGCTTTCCAACAATGTCTATTCTATTCAACTTTCATGCTATCCATAGCTCCTCTGGGTCAACCTCTCACTGTGACTCTACATCCAAAACCCACAAGCCACAACAGCAGGAAAGGAACCCAGGCAACACAGACATGCTGTCTTCTACATCCATGTTTTCTGCAAGATGACAGAAACACTCTGCCCTTACCTGACCATCATGTGAGAACAAACAACAGCCTTACCTGCAGGTGGCTATAACCAGGCACGAGTGGACACACAGACAGAGACAGACCCTCGGTGCGGTGCCATGCATGGCTCCAACAACACACTTTCCAACTGGCCCTGACACTGCTTGCAACAGTGGAGAACAGACATGGGAACGGCAGGCAGGCACCCCTAAAAAAAAGACATAGCAGACTCAAAATAACACAAATCTGACAAAAAGAATGTGTGGAAGCCACTGCTCACATGAATTCCTAGACAATAGGACCTCCTCACATTCCAAAACCACAGATGTGGGGCACTCGCCTGCCGCATCCTCCTCCTCCTCCTCCTCCTCCTCCTCCTCCTCCACAATCTTTCCATCTAGTCCACATGTCATGCCACCAAAACACTTTCAATCAACAATATATCCCATAAAAAATATTTTTTCATGGGAAAAGATAACATATTATAGGAGCATCTATCTTTTCTTTCAAAGCTCAAGATGATGGCTTCCCATGCACCTTGACGGCACAACACAAGGGCAAGGGAGAAAGAAAAACTGGTCCTTGGAAGAAAACCACATCTATGGATGATCTTGCCTCATCTCACGCATAGGACACAAACAGGCACACACATCACACCTACAGCATGGGGACATGCACCGCACCCGTTGATAAACACAAGACTTTTCAGTACACAGGACACCACAGTCAACAAGAAGGAAAAACTGGACAAGGAAAAATTTCTTCAGGCCATGACCCATGAAAGACTCCCTCAGCTATACACTCATCCGTCATGCCTCTATTCATTCTCTCAGTTTCTCTAAGCTACACAATTCCACGACTGCAATGGACATCCATCCTTTAAAAATCAACATGCATCCTTTGCTACCTTACAATTCCCAAAACCAACAAATCTTGATTTCATCTCCAAATCACTCCACAAGTTCAAAAACATTCCTGTGCCACTTCAAACGCTGCCATGGGCACAAACCGCTTTGGATCGCTGGACAGACCGTCACCCTGCACCATCAACTATCCCAGGTTCCATGACAGCCAAAGATGGGTACCTTGGAGATAGGCACATCCTTCCCAACTACAAGCTGTGAAAGGGGCAGCTGATCCATGTCTCAAGCTCTGCATCCCACACCTCTCCCTCTCCGTTCCTCTCTGTAAAACAATCCAGAATATATAGTTTCATTGAAAAACCTGCAACGATACATGTCACCAAAATCGCTCCATTCCATTCAGCCTCTC